CACTAGTTTTTGCCATGTTGTCTTTCACGTGGAGTAAACTTTTGACATGTCATCATCTTACCGTGAATTAACAGTACAGGTGGAGAGGTGTTTAATGGAAGGACCAAATCGGGGTAAAAATGGTAAACAGTAAGGACCAAATCAGGGATTTTTTGAGTTCAGGAACCAAATCGGGGGTCCGTACAATAGTTGAGGGACCAAAAAGGGGTTTTAACCTTTCAGATTTTAAGCCATGCCTTAGGCATATTAAATCCTACGGGGATTTTCATATAGCCATCAAATATTCAAATGTTACAACATTTATAAAATGAATTTGAAACCATATAAAAATCTCTAAAATATATTATCAATATATGATGATAATAATATCTGTCATAAGAAAATTTCTACTCAGAACCAATTTTAGGTTTTGTATAAATTTTTGAGTTATAAGTTTTCATTTAAAGTAATGATTGGTATACACTTTGGTTTAACGCACTTACCAACATCCATCAATTTAGCCATTAAATTTTGCATGTGAATTTTTTTTTCCTTGAATTTAAATTTGAAAATAATAATTTCTTAATATGTGTAATATAGGTCATGATGAATATCACTTGTAATATGAGCTTCACATCATCATGTGCTTGGATTATCGATTCAAAAATTCCATGTTATTCTTGTGATTTTAATTCTCCTTGAATCGTGTCTTGTCATATTGGCCAATAATTTCTTTGTCGACAATTTCTAATTAATTTTGATCAAAGATCTTCTTTTCCTTTGATTATATCTTTCACCATTGCATATGTAAAAAACAACACTAATAATAATTTCATTTGGCTTCTATCTCCTTCTAAGAGAGCCATAATTTATAAAGGTTCTATCCTTTTCTAGTAAAACCTTAATTCATAGGTACCTAATTCTTTTATGAGATCATTTCATCAATAGCTTTTTAAGGGTATTTACGGTTTCGACAATACTAACTCATTGCTTATACTTCCCCTTCATTCTTGGATGTGTATCTTTATAACCGTTTGTTTTATCGTGCTTTTGGCATCCACATAATTTACTCATTTGCTAATGTTTTAACAACTTTTTAATATTAACAGCAGTACTTAAAACTCAAATATGTGATTTACAAACTTTTATTTAATCAATAGATGCATCCAGCAATTGATAATACAAAATTTTAAAATTTCAATTCATATCAATTGATAATATATAGGGATACCCATTTTTCTTTCTTCTCCATCCACATGCAATTCAAACATTAAGAGTGGATCATATAGGAATGTGAATCATCATAATCTTGGGATATAAATCCTTAAGTGAGAAGTATTATTTTCAAATGGATATGAGATATCCAACTTTAAAATCAAATTATATATCACAAGTATACAAATGCATATCCATCGTGATGATATTTCTAATGAAATTCAATGAGACAATTTTGTTTTTCTTTGTGTGACACTTGATAAAATTAGTTAATTGCCTGGATGTATAATAAGTATAGTGACTTTTCATGTCACATCTATGACAAGTTCTTTTAGGATTTTACCTTTCATGTCACATTTATAAGAAACACTTTTATAATTCTTAGTTGGCTTCTTATATAAATCCTTTCCATTTGTATTTTTTTTTTATCAATAATTGCATAATCTTTTAACTAATATCAAAGCAATATAGCCATGATCATGACTATGTTCACACCCATAATTATCATATAATACCACATCCACTTTAGTGAATGAGAATAAATCATTGGATTGTAATTGTTTATCAAAATATCAAAATGATATAATAACCTTTTATATAGGTCTTAATATTGCCCTCTCAATATTGCTATTATTGGAGCATATTTGAGGCATGGAAGAAGAGTGTATCTTGTTTAAAATATTTTTATTTAAATCATTTTCTTTGCATGAAGTAATCAAAATCTTTGCAGATTTACGCTAGAGTAATAATGAATCCATCCATAACTAGTTTTTATTTAAAAAATTTTCTATTCTTCGATAGTCATGCTGTTCTTCCAAATTATTTCAAGATTCCATGAATCTTTTATTGTCAAATGTCATCTTTTTAGTCCTTTGTGAACTTAATGATGAAATAATACTTTAATACTTTTAACGCAATCCTATAAAAATATTTTATTTCCCTCAAGGAAATTTTTTCTTTTTTATGAGATTCTTAATTTGTTCCCTTCCATAATCAAATTTTACGATTCATTATAACAAAATGAAATATCTCAAGAGCTTATAGCAAATATTTAAAGCCCAATTTCTCACAGGCAACAAGTTCAAAATTTTGAGAATTTCCATTACCACTACAAAAATTTCAAAATTATTAGTATAATATATGAACTTAAATAATCATCAAAGTGTATTGAAAATAATACAAGATAAAGATAAAAATCTTATCTCAAATTCTTATCTCAATAATCTTACCTAAAAAATATCATTACGTTAAATTGATAACAAGGACAAATTGCATAGAGACAATTTGTGCTGATAACGTATTGTAAAATGAGTGATTATTGAGTTGAAGAAAAGTAAATATACAAAAAAGACAAGATCAGACTATGAAGAAAGAAGAGAGGAAAAGTATGCTTTCTATTCTTCCATTTCTTTCATTCTTCAATTCCAGTTACAATTCATAAAATGCTAGCTTATGTATAGGCTAAGGGATAATAAATATTACATAAGTTCAATTAATAAACTTGATTGGATTCACAAAGATGAACTTGACTAGATTCATTAGTGGAACTTAATTAAAACATTGAACCTTTGTTAGTTCCATAAATGTGATGATTTTATAAATATAGTGGTTCATGAATGTGATTAATAGAATTCAAAATGAAGTCAAGTGAATATGAAAAATGGGAGGTGATAGATGAAATGTATAAAGGTAAAACATCCATTCATTGTATAATTCATAATACAAACACATTTTTATTCCAAAAGAGAGAGAGAGTAGTATTTTCATTGCATTTTCTCACTAACCATAACTTGTATATGGATATGAATTAATCCCAGTTGTATTTGTTTAAGCAACGAATATGTCCAGCTTATGAAACCGTACTACTGCAAAATTACCTGGTATTTTTTTATCAACAGTTCATGGGTAGTGGCTGCACTTGGACCTTGAACCAGTGATTAGCTTCAAACATTCTCAAAATGGCTATGGAAGCAATATTCACGTACCATAGCGCATCCAGGTGGCCAGTTAGAATAGGATGGTCACATCACTCTAAACACTCTCTACTGTAGAGTGTATAAGAATATTGGTCCGGTGGTTACCATGAGCTGAAGTGTGAATTGACCTAGCCATCTATCAAGGAATGAATGGTTCAACTGAAGCATCAAAATTCACATATAACAACTTTCATTGCTGGAACCTCTTGGTTGCCGGCCAATACCATTGGGGGCGCTGTTCAGTTCTGGCCTTTGAATTCCACATTGCGCATTACTACTTCAATTTGTTTCATGAACATTGTTTTGTTCTTTCATTGTGTGATGAAATGCCTTCAGCAATGGGCAATCCCTGCAATTGTGGTAAAACTATTATTAACTCTTACTATAATTATAATACTATTCTCTCATGCCTGTCAGAATAACATAGTCAATTGTACTCTAGGCCAAATACAAAAACGCAGGAGCACACACTCACGCACTTAATTGTACTTGATTATAACCATTCTGAATTTGAGTGAAATTTGATGTTAGCTCCCAATCAGCATTCAAATGCAGCTATATGGTATGAAGTGGACACCTAAAGCATTACCATACTTATCTGTTGATCAAGAACCTGTACCTTGAATCTTCTGCAGTTTTAATGCATAAGCATCATCAATGCCCAAAAGTCATTTGCAACATCTACAGACATGAACCCTTGAGCACAAAGAACTACTTTCAATGTCTATCATAAAAGTAAAGAGTGTAGCTCTTCTTGTATCCCAATGGTGCCATTGAACCAAAATTTCTTGACTATTCAAGATAAAGTTCATATAAGCTATAAAGATAAGATGTTTATTTGAGCAGTATTAATGCCTAACACATAACATACAATAAGAAGTCAAAAATTTCAAAGTTGTACCTAGTTCACCTTCCAGAGGAGTTCTGTTTTTTTGGCCAGCACTTATCATGATCTGAATCCATCATGTTTGTCTTCAAAATTAACACAGAAGGCACAGATCTGAAGAGGAATTTTCAGTGTGGGTGATATAGAGAATCATATCAGAAACCATTAACAAACAATAAAACATAAAAGGAAATATTTGCAAGTCTTTTCTTGAAGCTTTCTCATCAGCATGCTACTTCATAAGAATCAAAAGAGAATTGCACTCAAATTTCATTTATATCTCTTTCCATGCCAAACAAATAGATTTTTTCCTCCTTTCAGACGTCACCAAAGCTGTATGGAGGCAGCAGGGTCATAAGCCATAACCAATATCTATTACTTTGCTGCCAGATCCAAGTAGTGAGATCTAACATTTCTCCCATCAAAGCAGTAATTACTACACCGAAGTAAAAAGAATCAATATCTGGACTAGATTACCTGTCGAACTTTCAAATCCATCTTCATCACTCCAAACTATGAGGGGATGGGAAGAAAAAACTCAACTTCCTGGCCTCAATTCTGAGACATTTGAGGATGGGAAAAAAACTGTTAGCAGTGAAAACAATAAAACCAAATTCCTTTTAGAAAATGTGAGTTGTGAAAACTGAAAACAGAATCAGTACATCAATAAGCTGTCAAGCAAAAAGATTCATGTACAAGGCAAATATCCTTTGTTACAGTCATATTTTGTAATTTTGTATCTTACAAATTGAGAAATAATGAGAAAATATTAAAAACAAAAGACAGCAATAAGAGGTTGACTTGTACACAGCTTGCATGCTTACCTCAAAATGCCAATAAATGCTTTGTCAAAAACACAATAATGAAGACTATCTCAAAAGAAAACTTTCAACATGAATATCTCCCATGGCAATTCTGCAAAAAAATTAACTACTAGAGGTATCGAGATGGTTTCACGTAAGTTATTCATGGATGCATAATAAATGAAATATGCAACTAGCTGAAAATTAAGGAGATAAACTTTTTTAATCACTGCACATTTTATTTAATTACTTTCCCACACAAAACTTTAGAGGAAGGGAGAACTGTAACCTACCCAATGGTCATCAACAGCAAACCAGCTACTGCTTCCGGTATCCTGCAGTATTTGCCATTTTACCAAGATTCTAAGTTAATTAGCTGCATTTGAATTAGAAAGCACAATGGTAAAAGGGACAAAGTGACACTTTAAAGATACACATTTAATTAACGATAAATTCTCTTACCAATTCTATATCTTGATAATATCAACTTCAACATTGAAAACTGTAGGGGCTGTGTGGTATCACTTCCAATTCCTGATTTCTTTTTTGGTTTTCGGGAAGAAAGAACTGATGAAGCAAAACTTTATCTGTTAAAGTTCCTGGTTTCCAGAAAAGTGAAATCCTATGTACCAAAAAAATAAATAAATAAGTGAAATCCTGCAACAAGATACCATAAACTTTTGAAAACCAAATGTCTGGTTTTCAGATTTTAGCTTTTTAAAGTTTTGGGAAGTGTTACTTAATGGTACCATAGTCAACTTCTCTTTGCTGAATGTTTCCACAAGAAGCCTCTGTGTTGGTCTATAAGGGACCTTTCCTCTTTGAAGCATCACATCTAATACCACAAGAGCTTCATTCAATTGCTTTTGAGCACATAAGATGGAAAGCAACCAGTTGTAACTGTATGGTCGAGGTGCAAAATCATGATCAATCATTTCTTCAAATATCTTGAACGCAGAGATGGTCAGACAACTTGCACAAAGACACATGAGTAGGTTGTCATAACAATTCTGACTAGGGAAAAAACCCCTCTTACGCATTGCAACAAAAAGAGACAATGCGTCAAGTAATCTTCCAAAACGGCAAAGGCCTTTCAGTAACGTGTTATAAGTACATTCATCCGGAGTGCAGCCATCTGCATTCATTTTATTAAATAAGCCAATGGCATGATCAATTTCACCAGATCTGATATGCCCACCAATTAGCATGGTGTAAGTCACTTGGTTGGGATGGAAACCCTCTTTTTGCATCAGTTCAAAGTGATCATATGCATCTTGCATCCTATCTGCATGACAAAATCCATCAATCATAACATTGTAGATGCACAAACTTGGCATAAACGGTGTTTCAATAACTTTCTGCATAAGCTTTGACATGAAAATTTTCATTCCTTCAGGAGGAACAGCAGAAATTCGTAAGTTGTTCTTCCTTGGAAGACCAGTCTTCTTATTAAGCAAACATAAGAACATCTCTATTTCCCTTTCAGACCTTCTGTTTACAAAGTGATGACTTTTCCTACCAGAGATACCTCTGCAAACACCAATGACAAGTGTGATATATCTGACTGGGTCACATTCAATCTTGTTTTTCTCCATCAGATCAAGTAATCTAAAGGCAAATTCAAAATCTCCCCTTCTTGTGAAATGTTTGACCAGAGATGTATACAGGATAGCATTTGGAAAAAGACCATCACCCAACATCCTATCAAGATAAAGGTGCCCTTTCTCTGTCATGTCATTCATCACTAACCCAGCAATCAACACTGAGTAGGTAAGGGAACTTGGCCCAACAGCATTCTGTACCATTTTCTCAAACAATTCACAGGCTTCAGTAGGTCTTTTATTCTTCAAGTAGCTATCAATCATTGTTCTATAGGCAATCTCATCAGGATCCAACCCAGATTCAAGCATCTTAACAAACATATTTTCTGCTTCAAGCATTCTATTTTCTCTGCCCAGACCACCAATAATGCAGTCATAGATAGCAACATCAGGCTTCACTCCCTTCTCCTCCATCCGGTAGAAGATATCAAAAGCTGATGCCAGATCCCCCTGCTTACTGTATTCATTTATCATTATCAGAAAAGTTTTTTGGTCTGGAACAATACACTGCTCTTGCAAAAGATAAATGAGCGACTTTGCATCCTCAAAAAGTCCTTCACGGCAAAGACACTTAATTAAGGAATTATAAACAAAAATTGAAGGCATAAATCCTAAATTGATCAATTTATCCATGCAACACAAAGAATCATCCAGTTTTCCTTCCTCACACAACGCAATGATATGTATACTGAATGCCACTTCTGCTAGACTTGGGTTGCTTTTCACAATTTCCTCAAGAAGGAGCTGAATTTCTTCCTCCACAGATCCTGTAGTAGAGGATGAGAGTAGTGAAGGGTCAAACCCGCACCCACTCAAGGCTATTGCCCGTAAAATCATATTAGCAACCTGAAGCTGATATCCCTTCGGATACATCTTCATGATGGTAAAAAACAGAATATGATCTGGAACAACCCCACTGTCCAGCATAGTGTTGTACATTTCATCTACTTCGATTAATCTATTCTCCTTGTAAAGTGAAGCAAGCAAAACTGTGTAGCAGTGAACAGTAGGAGCTATTTTATTACTAACCATGTTATCCAGAACCATAAAAGCACAATCAACCTTCCTGTTCTTGCAATAACTACTAATCATGACATGATAAGTCACCACATTAGGCTGCACCCCCTGCTCCATCATCTGGTTGTATAATAACCAACCCTTGTCAAATAAACCCATCTTGACAAACCCATGGATCAAAGTGTTGCAAGAATAACTATCTGGCTGAAAACCCATCTTTAGCATTCTTAAATAAACTCCCATTGCCATTTTCATCTTCTTATCCTTGCTATACGCATTCATCAAAGAAGTGTACATACTCCTATCTACAAAGAAACCCTGTGATTCCATTTGTCCAACTAATAACTCTGCCTCTTTAACACAACCCCCCTTGCAAAGACCATAAAACAAGGTTTTATACCAACGAAGCCTAGGCAGCAACCTGGTTCTCTCACGCATTATATCAAACATCTGCATTGCTTCCATTAAGTGTCGTCTATAACATAACCCAGTAAACAACTTACGGTAACACCAAAAATCCAAAGTAACACGAGAATCAGTCATTCTAACAAAGCAATCAAATGCATCCAGAAACATCCCTCGAGCAAAAAACTCCTCAAGAAGCACTATACACGTAGTTTTAGTAGGAACAGAATTCATCATTAAAAGCTTATCAAAATGCATTCTAGCTTCTTCCAACTTCCCTAAGTTACATAAACAAATGACCATAGAATCAACAGTGGAGGAGTCAGGATCAGTACCTCTGCCAATAACGCTATTGCAGTAAAGCGAATGGGCCAACTGGGTTTGCCCTGATTGCATGAGTTTCTGAATCAGAGCCGCATAGCATCCGACATTAAGCCCCAAACCACGGACATCAGCAAATTCAGCGGCTGATATCGCCTCAGACAGCGAAGACGAGTTGGCAATAAGCCGCTGTATCACTTGCTGGGCAGAGGATACCAAACCCCGTTGTATTAGCTGCTCAGTTAGGGAAAAGCAAAGGGAATTATGGTCACTGGCGGCGGAGGAGACGGCGGAGCTTGGTGGGTCTAGCGGAAGAGTTGATGTTTTCATCATTCTCCTGAACAAGAGAGTATGCCAAACACATCTCCTCTTTATCATTGCTTAGAAAAGGTAGACGGAACTGAGTAGATGCATATAAACTGAAGCTGCTACAAATTCAAGAACCTTAAATTTTTCTGTGCTTTTGAATCTGCGGCGGAGCAAAAACAAGATAAACTTTCTTCCGATTCGGTTTAAAACCCCGACAAGGGTTTAGGAGTTAGTGGTCGCCGCCGCCGGGAAAAGCCGAGAGGGTTTTACGGTTGGACCGGTTGAAGAAGAAAACAAGACAAACGGACTGTTATTCTTGAGCCCAACAACTGATATTTTGGGCTTACCAGCCTGTAGTCACAGATTGGCCTTAATGAAGAATTGGCCCTAACTTAATTGGGTTCTGTAACGAAGTTTGGGCTTGCTTGCTTGATACCTAGTGAATTAATTAATTTTTTAATTGATGATTTGGCATTATATAACATCATAAATTACGTAACATTTGGGTCCTAATCTATGGTGAAAATTAGTCCTAATCAATCATTCAGCTCCCACTCTTTTGCCTTTATTTGTTCTCAATTCTTATTCATATGATAATTAAAGGATATAATTGATATTATTATTACCGACGATGACATATAAACCAAAATGCAATCATAAAATTCTCATTTTTCTTATTAATATTTTATTTTAGGTAAGAGTTGTCAGCTATTTAATATATGGAGAGCTGTTTTATTTATGTGATGTACACGCTAAAATTATATTCATTTTAAGTTGTGTATGATTAAGCAATTCAATTATTGAAATTACATTACAATGAAACTAATTAAAGAATAGTATAGAAGATATGAAAGAAAGAAAAACTCGGCATAATTAAACTCATAAGCCTACAACCTTTAATCTTTTTAACAAAACCAGGGGCCTCTATATGTAAAAACTTCTTGTTATTGAAAAAGAAAGATGAAAACATTAGTGACTAAAAGTGAAACTTAGACGCTAAAAACACAATTATTAAGACAATCATGTATCACAACTTCACAAGTCAATGCTTGGATCTTTTATATGCTTGTGCACATGTGCATCTTAAAAGGGAAATAGTATGA